TCTCATAAATGCCCACACCCTCTCATACACACCCACACCCTCTCATACACATCCACACCCTCTCATACACGCCCACACCCTCTCATAAAGGCCCACACCCTCTCATACACGCCCACACCCTCTCATACACGCCCACACCCTCTCATACACGCCCACACCCTCTCATACACGCCCACACCCTCTCATACACGCCCACACCCTCTCATACTCGCCCACACCCTCTCATACACACCCACACCCTCTCATACTCGCCCACACCCTCTCATACACACCCACACCCTCTCATACACGCCCACACCCTCTCATACACGCCCACACCCTCTCATACACGCCCACACCCTCTCATACACGCCCACACCCTCTCATACATGCCCACACCCTCTCATACACGCCCACACCCTCTCATACACGCCCACACCCTCTCATACACGCCCACACCCTCTCATACACGCCACACCCTCTCATACACGCCCACACCCTCTCATACACGCCACACCCTCTCATACACGTCCACACCCTCTCATACACGCCCACACCCTCTCATACACGCCCACACTCTCTCATACACGCCCACACCCTCTCATACACGTCCACACCCTTTCATACACGCCCACACCCTCTCATACACGCCCACACTCTCTCATACACGCCCACACCCTCTCATACACGCCCACACCCTCTCATACACACCCACACCCTCTCATACACGCCCACACCCTCTCATACACACCCACACCCTCTCATACACGCCCACCACTCTTTCATGCACGCCCACACCCTCTCATACACGCCCACACCCTCTCATACACGCCCACACCCTCTCATACACGCCCACACCCTCTCTTACACGCCCACACCCTCTCATACACGCCCACACCCTCTCATACACGCCCACACCCTCTCATACACGCCCACACCCTCTCATACACGCCCACGCTCTCTCATACACGCCCACACCCTCTCATACACGCCCACACCCTCTCATACACGCCCACACCCTCTCATACACGCCCACACCCTCTCATACACGCCCACACCCCTCTATACACGCCCACACCCTCTCATACACGCCCACACCCTCTCATACACGCCCACACCCTCTCATACACGCCCACACTCTCTCATACACGCCCACACCCTCTCATACACGCCCACACCCTCTCATACACGCCCACCACACCCTCTCATACACGCCCACACCTGGAGAAAAATTCATTACACGCCAGTTTGTTTTTGAATGTTTGGTATTAAAAGGAAGGTGTGGGTGTAGAGGCGTGGGTGTTAAGGCGTGGGTGTTGAGACGTGGGTTAAGGGGCGTGGAAGCTATATGGGGGCTACAGTAGGTCCTCACCACCCATATATTCATCAAAATAGGTCCCACTACATCATCTTACCACGCCCACACACGCCCATGACGCAGGTACGGAACGTGGGTGACTTAACAGGAGAGAAATAGCCCACGCCCACGCCCACGCCATAAGAATGGTTGATTAGTTAACTGGGTTTCAACTCTGGAGAGCGAAACGTTGCCACAATAAATGTTGCATTAGTTGCACTTGTGTCCTTTTACTTTAATATTATATATATATATATATATATATATATATATATATATATATATATATATATATATATATATATATATATATATATATATATATAATATATATATATATATATATATATATATATATATATATATATATATATATATATATATATATATATATATATATATATATATATATATATTATATATATATATATATATATATATATATATATATATATATATATGTCGTGTCGAATAGGTAAAACTGGTCAATTAGCAAGAACTTATTTAAAATTAAGTCCTTTCTAAAATGTTTTCTTATACGTTTAAAGATATATTTTTTCAATTATGCTAATGTAAAAAATTTAATAATTTTGTACCAAAAGAACATTAGAAAACTTACCTAACCTTATTATAACAAGCGCAATATAATTTAGCCTAATCCATCTAAATATATTTTAGATAAGTTTACAATAATTTAATAATAAACAAACACAATGAAATATATTTTTTTTGATAGGTTCAGAATGATTTTTGCGAAATTATTGCATACACAAATTTTCGCTTGTCTTATTCGGTAAGAAGAGCGTTGCTATTTAAGCCAAAATTGTACGTTTTTACCTATTCGGCATAACATATATACACGAATTCCTTCTGATGAGGACATTAGAGCACTCCAGGAAGATTTGAATAGACTGATGCAGTGGTCGGAGAAGTGGCAGATGCAGTTTAATATAGACAAATGCAAAGTTCTAAATGTTGGACAGGACAATAACCATGCCACATATAAACTAAATAATGTAGATCTTAATATTACTGATTGTGCAAAGGATTTGGGAGTTCTGGTTAGCAGTAATCTAAAACCAAGACAACAGTGCATAAGTGTTCGCAATAAAGCGAATAGAATCCTTTGCTTTATATCAAGAAGCATAAATAATAGGAGTCCTCAGGTTGTTCTTCAGCTCTATATATCCTTGGTTAGGCCTCATCTAGATTATGCTGCTCAGTTTTGGTCACCGTATTACAGAATGGATATAAATGCTCTGGAAAACGTACAGAGGAGAATGACAAAGTTGATCCCATGTATCAGAAATCTTCCCTATGAGGATAGACTGAGGGCCCTGAATCTGCACTCTCTAGAAAGACGTAGAATTAGGGGGGATATGATTGAGGTGTATAAATGGAAGACAGTAATAAATAAAGGGGATGTAAATAACGTGCTGAAAATATCTAGCCTAGACAGGACTCGCAGCAATGGTTTTAAGTTGGAAAAATTCAGATTCAGGAAGGATATAGGAAAGCACTGGTTTGGTAATAGAGTTGTGGATGAGTGGAACAAACTCCCGAGTACAGTTATAGAGGCTAAAACGTTGTGTAGTTTCAAAAACAGGTTAGATAAATACATGAGTGGGTGTGGGTGGGTGTGAGTTGGACCTGACTAGCTTGTGCTACTAGGTCAGTTGCTGTGTTCCTTCCTTAAGTGAATGTGACCTGACCCGACTAGGTTGGGGCATTGGCTTGAGCCGGTAGGAGACTTGGACCTGCCTCGCATGGGCCAGTAGGCCTGCTGCAGTGTTCCTTCTTTCTTATGTTCTTATGTATATACAAGGATGGTAAATATCTCACCAGGCTGGTATCGACGACAGTACCTGGTTCACCAGGCTGCTACCAGCGGCAGTGACTGGTTTACCAGGCTGGTATCAGCGACAGCCCCTGGTTCACCAGGCTGGTACCAGCCACAGTACCGGGCTCACCAGGCTGGTACCAGCCACAGTACCTGGCTCACCAGGCTGGTACCAGCTACTGTACCTGGTTCACCAGGCTGGTACCAGCCACAGTACCTGGCTCACCAGGCTGGTACCAGCTACAGTGCCTGGTGTACCAGGCTGGTACCAGCCACAGTACCTGGCTCACCAGGCTGGTACCAGCCAGCTACAGTACCTGGTGTACCAGGCTGGTACCAGCCACAGTACCTGGCTCACCAGGCTGGTACCAGCTACAGTGCCTGGTGTACCAGGCTGGTACCAGCCACAGTACCTGGCTCACCAGGCTGGTACCAGCTACAGTACCTGGCTCACCAGGCTAGTACCGGTACCAGCCAGCTACAGTACCTGGCTCACCAGGCTGGTACCAGCTACAGTACCTGGTGTACCAGGCTGGTACCAGCCAGCTACAGTACCTGGCTCACCAGGCTGGTACCAGCTACAGTACCTGGTGTACCAGGCTGGTACCAGCCAGCTACAGTACCTGGCTCACCAGGCTGGTACCAGCCACAGTACCTGGCTCACCAGGCTGGTACCAGCTACAGTACCTGGTGTACCAGGCTGGTACCAGCTACAGTACCTGGTGTACCAGGCTGGTACCAGCTACAGTACCTGGTGTACCAGGCTGGTACCAGCCAGCTACAGTACCTGGCTCACCAGGCTGGTACCAGCCACAGTACCTGGCTCACCAGGCTGGTACCAGCTACAGTGCCTGGTGTACCAGGCTGGTACCAGCCACAGTACCTGGTTCATAAGCCATGTTTGTGCCTGGATCATTCAGCATTAGAAAGTTTACGGGACGAAGGAAAACGGCTTGTGAGTAAGATCTGCTAGCCAGCCAACTGGGCTGTAGCTGAGGTAGATTCTCACCTCACGTAGCTGACCTCAGAGCTGCTAACCCCCCCCCTCCTAACCACGACACGTGAGGTCATCCTCCACACATCTAGTACACAGGGTAGCCAGGAGCATGACCCTCAACACTCACTTCGAGGGCGAGGTTATATATACCAGGTGGAGAAAGACCTTTAAGGAGAGACACTGGTACTCGTGACTAAATACGCTGGTGTTTCAGGGTATCAAGACAGTACCACAACTTCAATCGTCGGTATATTTATATATGCGCCCTCTTACGTCCTTCTTGGTCTGCCACAGGGACGGTGAGGCGCCCAGAAGGCCCTGCTGGAGGAGCAGATGGAGGGAAATTACTATGCATCAGAGGCCTCTTGAGGCAGAAAGTGTAGTGGGTTAAGCAAGTCTCGTAGCCCTGGCCTCCAGCCACCACCTGCCGACACTATGTCACCACTACCACCTGGCAGTGTCACCACCACCACCTGAGAGTGTTGACGCCTGATGGTGTCACCACCATCACTTGACAGTGTCACCATCTACCAGCGTCACCACAATTACCAATAACTGAACAGTAAAGTAAGACATAACACAGATGTCCTTGTTCTTCCTTTCATTTGGAAGCCTTCTTGGCGTGTGTAAGTTCTGAGTCCTCGACACCTGCTGTTGTTGTGACACCTGTATCCTCATACCTGCTGCTGTGAATATATATATATATATATATATATATATATATATATATATATATATATAATATATATATATATATATATATATATATATATATATATATATATATTTGCAGAATCGCAGACAGGCGATCTTAACAATGTCGAACGAGCCACATAGGGCTACAAATATTTAGCTTTTGGTCTTTCAGGCTGTTGCGTCGTCAGGAGCTATGTAGTGTTGCAAGACAGCAACAGATAGGAGGGGAAATTCTCTGAGGCAAGGAAGAAGACATCTAGAGATAAAGATTTCTATCTCTATGTGGCTTGTTCTGCATGTACCATGAACATAGCTGTGTCTGTATCTAAGAACACTGAAAGAGTGACATCATCATCATCATAGCTCTGCTACTGTAACAACAAACACTGAAGATGGTACACGTGAGATTCTCCTATACCACAGTTGTAGAGACACAGCATAACTCTGCACTTATCCTTCAGTTTCAAACTGTGTCGTCGAGTCCTGTACCATCGCTCTCCCTCGTCACGACTGTTGACTCTGGTCTCCCTGGCTGGTGGAAAGGCTAGGTAAGCTTTATCAGGAATCAGGAAAAGTGAAAACAGTAATTATTTATGAAGTTAGAACAATTTTTCCTAGCCGTTGTATTCAACATTGCAAGTTTTTCCACGTTACATTGATTAAAATATTAGTCTACCTGTTATCTGTTACTCAGTCCACTTGTTAACACTCCAGGAAGCTCTTCCTCAGAGAGTTCGTAACCTCGTCCTTCCCTGAACGTCGAACACCAGACAATAAAACTTACTTGTTCCTCCTTTGTATCCTTCGTGTATACTTATGTATATCTTGGAGTTCGTCAGTAACCTGAAGAAAGGAATATCAATGAGATTCTTAACATCGACAATAAGGCTCCAGTTTTTTATTCAACGACCGATGGTGAAATAACTGATATGGTGGTGAATGAAGGTGATCCTGATGATAATACTGACGATGACATTGTTAACTATTTGTCTTCCAATACGACGTCCATTGTCACTATAGTCACTCGGATCATTGTCTTCATTGTTTCTATTAATTTTCGGCTCAGCATTACATTCTGATCGTCACATCGTCTACACTAGCAGTCCATTTGTCTTATTATAACTGTCTTTAGTCCGGACATTTATATAGTAAGTGCCTTTAATTTACAAACACCCTGGGTGTCAGTAGGTATCCCTGGGTGTCCCTAGGTGTCCTTGGGTGTCTCTGGCTGTCCTTGGGTACCTCAGTAATGAAACCGCTGTCCTGGCAGCATTTTCTTGCTTGAATATTAATATATTTTATTGACAACCGTCACTAACAACTAAAATCTTGTAGAGTTACTATGCATGGCGTCACTAAACGTGACATTACCGTTGTTATGTACTTAAAGACCCGTGAGTCATTATATAAATAATGGCTTCTAACTTATTTACATTTCAAAACAACGCCATCATGGAGACTGTCATCTTGACCCTTGGACGAGGCGGTTGTGTCTTTCAGTGGGTTTGCAGCCATGTGGCGGTAGTTTGTTGCACAGAACACCGCAAGCATAGTTCTGCATCTGTAACTACAAACACTGCAGACGACACACCACAAGCATAGTTCTGCATCTGTAACTACAAACACTGCAGACGACACACTACAAGCATAGTTCTGCTTCTGTAACTACAAACACTGCAGACGACACATCACAAGCATAGTTCTGCTTCTGAAACTACAAACACTGCAGACGACACACTACAAGCATAGTTCTGCTTCTGTAACTACAAACACTGCAGACGACACACCACAAGCATAGTTCTGCTTCTGTAACTACAAACACTGCAGACGACACACTACAAGCATAGTTCTGCTTCTGTAACTACAAACACTGCAGACGACACACCACAAGCATAGTTCTGCTTCTGTAACTACAAACACTGCAGAAGACACACCACAAGCATAGTTCTGCTTCTGTAACTACAAACACTGCAGACGACACACCGCAAGCATAGCTCTGCTTCTGTAACGACAAACACTGCAGACGACACACCACAAGCATAGTTCTGCATCTGTAACTACAAACACTGCAGACGACACACCACAAGCATAACTCTGCTTCTGTAACGACAAACACTGCAGACGACACACCACAAGCATAATTCTGCATCTGTAACTACAAACACTGCAGACGACACACCACAAGCATAACTCTGCTTCTGTAACTACAAACACTGCAGACGACACACCACAAGCATGGTTCTGCTCGTGTAACGACAAACTCCAGAGACAGTACTTGCGCTACCGTCCACAGGATGAGGCGCACAATAAACTAGCCACCTTGAAGGTAAAATCTGAATCTTTAGTCTCTTTGACGTGTGACGAAGGGTGCAGAAGGCGCCTTCAACTTACGTCTTAGTTGAAAGTATGAGTTGGCCAAGCTTGCCCCTTACTCCAAAAACTTATACTTTCTAGTAAGTACCTTTGACTTGTGTTAAAATATTCTTGGTATGCTGGATCTTCCAACACCATAATATGTCCAATAAATCCTCCAGGATATATTCACTAACTGACCATTAAAATGTCTTCTAAGAAGTCACATTCTGATCACTACATTGTCCATAATGTGGTTAATAACTAGTCCATATATATGGCCAGTACTGGTACACGCCATGGCCACTAGTAACACCACAACGTGGCCACTGTGAGAGCTACATCCTGGTCACTAAGAGGGCCACATCCTGGCCACTAAGAGGGCCACATCATGGCCACTCAGTACCACAGAATGGTGCCACACGTCAATGGGCACGCCTAATATGTGTGTTGACCTAGATCTTATAAATAATTCTGTGAGGTGCAGTAGAGCCCAGGATGAGGTTGTCTTCTCATAGTTCCAATATTCTCACTGGTCTTACCGTTTACACCTGTTTCTTGATCTTACTCTTCTGTTTGATTTCTCCCTGTTCGTTTACACCTGTTTGCCTCTGTTTCTCTTGCTGTTCTGTTAGATTTCTCCCTGTTGGCTTACACCTGTTTACCTTTGTTTCTCTTGCTGTTGTTTCTCTCTTTTGACACCTGTTTGCTCCTGTTTATCTTACTGTTGGTTCCTGTTCGTCCCGTTTATGTTGCCTGAGACACTTAGTGTAAATTAAAACTTACATACAGATGAATCTGAAGTGACGGATTTAAAATGGGCTATGTATTTCGCTCTCTGAGGTCCTCTTCAGTGGACATGCTGAAGAAAGTTGCTGTTAGAGGTCAAACTCTCTTTGTCTCCACGTGAGTTTTGCGTTACATATTCCTATGTATATGAAGTCCACACTGTTTCTACACTGTCCCACACTATCCTGCACTGTCCCACACTGTCCTGCACTGTCTTACACTGTCCCACATCCATACCTATAGGCCTATATCTTTTGGTAACAGAGGCGTGATGGATATACTTAAAACCCTCTTGAGTATACGCTAAAGTATACTGTTGTATATGTATGTTCATAAAGAAGGTTATACAAGAATATATCTGTGTGGTGCTAAGAGAAATCATACACGGGGAAGGTATGATCAGTATATCATACACGGGGAAGGTATGATCAGTATATCATACACGGGGAAGGTATGATCTGTATATCATACACGGGGAAGGTATGAGCAGTATATCATACACGGGGAAGGTATGATCAGTATATCATACACGGGGAAGGTATGATCAGTATATCATACACGGGGAAGGTATGATCAGTATATCATACACGGGGAAGGTATGATCAGTATATCATACACGGGGAAGGTATGATCAGTATATCATACACGGGGAAGGCATGATCAGTATATCATACACGGGAAGGTATGATCAGTATATCATACACGGGGAAGGTATGATCAGTATATCATACACGGGGAAGGTATGATCAGTATATCATACACGGGGAAGGTATGATCAGTATATCATACACGGGGAAGGTATGATCTGTATATCATACACGGGGAAGGTATGATCTGTATATCATACACGGGGAAGGTATGATCAGTATATCATACACGGGGAAGGTATGATCTGTATATCATACACGGGGAAGGTATGATCTGTATATCATACACGGGGAAGGTATGATCTGTATATCATACACGGGGAAGGGTTTATGATCAGTATATCATACACGGGGAAGGTATGATCTGTATATCATACACGGGGAAGGTATGATCAGTATATCATACACGGGGAAGGTATGATCTGTATATCATACACGGGGAAGGTATAATCTGTATATCATACACGGGGAAGGTATAATCTGTATATCATACACGGGAAGGTATAATCTGTATATCATACACGGGGAAGGTATAATCTGTATATCATACACGGGGAAGGTATAATCTGTATATCATACACGGGGAAGGTATAATCTGTATATCATACACGGGGAAGGTATAATCTGTATATCATAACAGGGGAAGGTATAATCTGTATATCATACACGGGGAAGGTATAATCTGTATATCATACACGGGGAAGGTATAATCTGTATATCATACACGGGGAAGGTATAATCTGTATATCATACACGGGAAGGTATAATCTGTATATCATACACGGGGAAGGTATAATCTGTATATCATACACGGGGAAGGTATGATCTGTATATCATACACGGGGAAGGTATAATCTGTATATCATACACGGGGAAGGTATAATCTGTATATCATACACGGGGAAGGTATAATCTGTATATCATACACGGGGAAGGTATAATCTGTATATCATACACGGGGAAGGTATAATCTGTATATCATACACGGGGAAGGTATAATCTGTATATCATACACGGGGAAGGTATAATCTGTATATCATACACGGGGAAGGTATAATCTGTATATCATACACGGGGAAGGTATAATCTGTATATCATACGTTCCAAGTTAGGCAATATTGCCATTCTATGGTTGTCTTAACATATGATGATTTGTATTGTATTTTAAGGTCATCTAAGGTCATATAAGGCCATCTAAGGTCATATAAGGTCATCTAAGGTCACCTTTCAATCCAGAACATTGATGAAGTTATCCAGTATCACCTGCTGTACCCTCACTGATACAGGCCTGTAAGCATCACCCGTATCAGTGATGCTGTACCATCACTGATACAGATGGTCCAGCATCACCTGCTGTACCGCCAGCTCTGAGGTACAGAGGTGGTCCTTGACCTGGTCCACACATTGTTTTTCCTGCCCCACACAGTGTGAATCACCACTCTCCAGTTGAGGAGCTGCTGTGTCCTCAGTAAGTGTCCACGTGTCTTCTGTCAACATCTGCTTATGTGCCTTTTACCATCATCTGCAAATGTGTCTTCTACCAGCTTAAAAAATAAATTTGACGTTTGTCGTGTGTCCTGCTATGTATTCTGTAATGTGTCCTGCCTTGTGTCCTGTCATGTGTCCTGTCATGTGTCCTGTCATGTATCCTACCATGTGACCTGCCTGGTACAGAGGCACATTTTTCACATCACCTCTCGCTTCTGACTCTAGTGTCAGGGAGTGACGCAACATAACAGGGAGTGACGCAACATAACAGGGGGTGACGCAACATAACAGGGAGTGACGCAACATAACAGGGGGTGACGCAACATAACAGGGAGTGACGCAGCATAACAGAGAGTGACGCAACATAACAAGGAGTGACGCAACATAACAGGGAGTGACGCAACATAATAGGGAATGACGCAGCATAACAGGGAGTGACGCAACATAACAGGGAGTGACGCAGCATAACAGGGAGTGACGCAACATAACAGGGAGTGACGCAACATAACAGGGAGTGACGCAGCATAACAGGGAGCGACGCAACATAACAGGGAGTGACGCAACATAACAAGGAGTGACGCAACATAACAGGGAGTGACGCAGCATAACAGGGAGTGACGCAACATAACAGGGAGTGACGCAACATAACAGGGAGTGACGCAGCATAACAGGGAGTGACGCGACATAACAGGGATTGACGCAGCATAACAGGGAGTGACGCAACATAACAGGGAGTGACGCAACATAACAGGGGGTGACGCAACATAACAGGGAGTGACGCAGCATAACAGAGAGTGACGCAACATAACAAGGAGTGACGCAACATAACAGGGAGTGACGCAACATAATAGGGAATGACGCAGCATAACAGGGAGTGACGCAACATAACAGGGAGTGACGCAGCATAACAGGGAGTGACGCAACATAACAGGGAGTGACGCAACATAACAGGGAGTGACGCAGCATAACAGGGAGCGACGCAACATAACAGGGAGTGACGCAACATAACAAGGAGTGACGCAACATAACAGGGAGTGACGCAGCATAACAGGGAGTGACGCAACATAACAGGGAGTGACGCAACATAACAGGGAGTGACGCAGCATAACAGGGAGTGACGCGACATAACAGGGATTGACGCAGCATAACAGGGAGTGACGCAACATAACAGGGAGTGACGCAACATAACAGGGAGTGACGCAACATAACAGGGAGTGACGCAGCATAACAGGGAGTGACGCAACATAACAGGGAGTGACGCAACATAACAGGGAGTGACGCAACATAACAGGGGGTGACGCAGCATAACAGGGAGTGACGCAACATAACAGGGGGTGACGCAACATAACAGGGGGTGACGCAGCATAACAGGGAGTGACGCAGCATAACAGGGAGTGACGCAACATAACAGGGGGTGACGCAACATAACAGGGAGTGACGCAACATAACAGGGAGTGACGCAACATAACAGGGAGTGACGCAGCATAACAGGGAGTGACGCAGCATAACAGGGAGTGACGCAACATAACAGGGATTGACGCAACATAACAGGGAGTGAAGCAACACTGGATGTCATATTGACAGAAAGTGAGGAGCAGATATCAGCATTAATTAATTCAACAAACACTGTATATACGAAGCAGATATGGTGACCAAATAGTATAGTGTTGTCAGGTATATGCCAGAATAAACCTGGTTTATGTGGGTGTAGGTGTTCCAGAGAGAGAGCTAGAGTGAGGGAAGAGAGAGAGAGGGTGGCACTGTGCCAGAGTATGGGAAAACCCAGCTTTAATACATCTCTCTCTTTCTCTCTCTCTCTCTCTCTCTCTCTCTCTCTCTCTCTCTCTCTCTCTCTCTCTCTCTCTCTCTCTCTCTCTCTCTCTCTCTCTCTCTCTCTCTCTCTTTCTCTGTGGACATGATGCAAGACCTTTTAAAGAAATGGTTGCTGGAGTTCAACCTCCAATATTTATGAGGACAAGAACGTCAGCTGTGAATAAAGGAGACCAGAATAACACAGGTGACAGGGCAAAAACATCATAACATCGAAAGAACACATGAAGAACACGAGAACATTAACACAAAATATTTCAGAGAGGGGACACAGCAACAAGGGGTCACAACTGGAAGTTGAAGACTCAGACGACTCACAGGGATGTTAGGAAGTATCTCTTCAGTCATAGAGTTGTCCGGAAGTGGAACAATCTGGAGAGTGGTGTAGTGGAGGCAGGATCAATATACATAACTTTAAGATGAGGTATGATAAAGCTCATGGAGCAGGGAGAGGGTGAGCTGGAATTTATATGTAGGCTTTCCACGTCAATATGAGCTCTTGGATCAACAATGAGAATGGCAGTGGATTCTAACCTCAACCTTCAGACAGACAGAAAGACATCTGTCTGTCTGTCTGCCTGTCAGCCTGAAGGCACAGGAGCCCCAG